TTTATTATACTTGATAGATTACCATTGAATCAAAATGGAAAAATAGATCGAAAACTTCTTCCTTCACCTACTTTCACTCACCTATCATCAAATCAACTTAAGCATAATAGTGAACTATTATTACCAACAAATGATATTGAAGTTAGTATTCATCGTATTTGGTGTGAAATATTCACACAAAATCAAATCTCAACCGATACAAATATATTTACTATTGGTGGTCATTCATTACTTATGATGCAATTATTTCATCGATACAAGGTCGAGTTTCATTTAGACACGAACGCTCTTTCTATTACTAATCTGTTTCAAAATCCAACAATTATTCATCATGCTCAACTCATTCAACAATCTATGAAGAATCTCCATACTCTCGATGATTATCCTTGGTCTTCATTACATCTCACTCAAGGTAAACAAAACACTTCACTATTGATATAATGAGCAACTATATGTTCGGCTTTTTTTCTCATTTTAGCTCGAGCATCATTTGCACAAGAACGAATCTATTTAGATGAACAAATTCGTTTTTCATCTAAGAAAACAATGAATAATATGTATATTATTGCATTGCTTTATCGAATATCACCTATGAATGATCAAATATCAATTACTCGATTACAGCATGCATTTCAAAGTGTTATCACAAAACATAATATTCTTCGAACAGCACTTTATGTTGACACAAATGGTAATATTATACAACATTGTTTGGATCTAAATGTCATTCAACATGATTATATGAAATCCTGCGGATTGACAATTGTTAATCTTCATAATGATGGTCGTCGTCATGTAAATGAAATTATAGTAGAAATACTAAGTCAATCTGATTTATTTGATTTATCAAAAGGTCGTATTATTCGTTGTCATATTATTCGCCACTGTGACTATTCCAAAGATAATATTTCATGTGAGAATAATGATTTGTTGGGTGAAAATGATTACATATTGATTAGTATTCATCATGCAATGTTTGATGGTGCATCAACATCAACCTTCCTTGGTGATCTTTCTCTTGCCTATCAATCTAATGACTCATTATATATGGTTGATAACTCATTAGCATATATAGATTATTCTGTTTATGAACATATCATGGATATGTCATTATCTCGTGAATTCTGGCGTTCTCAACTTGAAGGATATAGTACCGAATGTTCATTATCATTACCAGTTGATCGACAATGTTCATCAACAAATCAACAACGATCAGGTCTAGCATCCATAGCTGAAATCACTTTCGATAATGAATTATACACATCATTTCTAAACTATGCATCATCACATCACCTCACACTTTTTCAACTTGGATTATCGATATTCTATGTTTTCCTATTCAAATTATCTCATGGTGAGACTGATTTATGTATTGGTTCTATCAATGCTAATCGATATCGAAATGAATTTCAAAATCTAATTGGAATGTTTGTTTCAACATTACCATATCGTTTAGAAATTGATTCGAATTGGTCTTTTGATGAACTTGTTGAACATGTTCGAGAAAAATGTTTATCAATTCTTGAACATTCTCATTATCCATTACAACATATTTTTGGTGATAATCGATTAAATCAATCGAGTGTATCATTTCTGGAGACAATGTTTGATTTTATTAGTGTGTCGAAAGATATGGAACATTTAAATTTGAATGGTGTAAATTTAGAGCAAATATTATTGGAAGAATCAGCTAAAGTGGCTAAATTTGACTTCTCATTAATATTTCAATACAATCCATTATCAAATAACAAGAGATTATCATGTAGTTTTGTTTGTTCATATGATTTGTTTGAAGAATCAACTATTTTACAAATGGCTCAAAGATTTCACTATATGTTTGAGCAATTGTTTCAAACAAAATCAATCAACACTTTTGTGATGGATGTTAGTCCATCGATTAAGAAAGTGTCTCTCATTCATCCTGAGGAAGCCAAAGAAATGGAATCAATCATGTTTTATCGATGGAAGAATATTGTTAATGAAGGTATGATTGTATAGAGTCTGTGCGATTGTTTTAAAAAGTAGTAGTGCATTGTAATGTACAGACAACTTATTTTTAGTTGCTAAATAAGTTCTAGCAGAACAAGAAATGAGAAAATGGAGATTCAGATGAGTTGTGATTGTCAATGACACATTTTTGCCTTTTTTAGGTGCTCTAGTTTTCAAACTTTTAACGAAAGATCTTCTGAAGGCGCTGAAAGTGAGTTCTAACTTCGAATTCCAAGAGACTTGGACTCGGATCTGTGGAGAGATTGATTACGAGAGTAATCAAATTTAAAATTGTAATGATCTCTCATGAGTATTTGCTTTGAATAGATAAATAGTCGCGTATTCTTTGTATCAATCACGAAAAGATAGCACTTGCCGTTGTCTGAAAGTTATATATTTCATTTTGAAACAGAACAACTATGATAGTAGAATCCTTTATAACCTGTTTACGTATCAAATGTTACTCTTCCAGAACTAAGATACACTCGCAGGTTTCATGTTGAAAACAAATTGCATTTTATTTACTTCGACTGTCGAACAAAGCCAGTAAAAACCCAGAGTTTGTCATTGGCGAACTTAGCTCTCTTTGACTTTAAATTGCATTAAATATTAAGTATGTGGCAGTTCACTAGTTATAAGTGATAAAATTTCGCAGTTTCTATTATGTCAGAAGTGAGATCGACGTGAAAAAATAAAAGCTCATGCAATCGGACTTGGAACTAAAGGGTAGAAACCTTCCGTAGATATAGTTCAGTTGTGTAATTAAAAGAATCTTCACTTCATAAAGTTTTACTATTTAATATGTCTGGTTGTTTTTGTTCTCTGTCGATCTTATATATAAATGTAATAAAAACTAATTTTTGTCGTTTTCAATAGTTGGATGCATGTTTATAGATTGAAATAATTGTTAAGCGCTTATAGAATGTAACTCATAGAAGGTATGTAAATATCTGTCAAATCATTGCATAATGTTACACAAGATGCCACACTTACGCATTATAGTTGAAGTTTTTATCGTGCGTATTCCGTTTATTTCTATACCTTAGGTTATTCCTTATAAAGTTGCAGAGGTTTTGTTTTCAGATCAGTAAGTAGCCTTTTTAGTGATTTTTAATATATGCCAAAAGAATAGAATCGTATAAACTTATTTCAATATAAATTTTAATATAATAACTACACAGATTTCGCTACCTTCCTTTATATATTCATTTGAA